AAGAGATAAGACTAATAATATGTAAGGGGAGTTCACGTAACGCCGGGCACTCATATATCTCAACAAATAATAATATGAACGATACAAAAATGAGTGAAAGATCAGGGAAGATCAGGAAAGATCAAATCAGGTCTTTAGAATCAGAGTAGTAAGTCACAGTCACAGTTAGAGACAGTTAGTCAGAGTCAAAATCAGAATCAGTCAGTAAGGAAGAAGTGAAGTAAAGGGGAAACAAGTCAAAGGAGTAGAAACTAAGGGAAAAAGTGGAGATAGAGATAAAAAAAAAAACAGCCACCGACTGATATATCTGAAATTGAAAGTACTTGCGTAGTGTGATTAGTGGACTACGACGAAGACTGGATACAGTGCTCCAGCTGCCATGGTTGGGCTCATGAAACATGTAACGCAGCATAAATGTATTCTGAATAAAGAATAAATGTAATATGATAACAGAAAATTAAACAATAAATTGAACAAAGATACTATGTATAAAAGGATATTTTGTAAGAATATAAAATGTGAATGTGAACTTGTTAAAAGATTTTCAAATATTTCTTAATGTTGATCCGACTAAAATGTAGACTTGTTCGGTGTGGTTTTACACGAATAAATCTTCCTTACTAGGGCGATCCAAGCGAAACGACGTTAGACGGAGGATCCGGGTGAAAAGTACATCCATTAAAATAAACGTTAATCCTCGAAGTAGCTTTTACCGTAAAGGTAATGTCTCGCGGTAGCCATTACGTAACGCTACGAGTTGCTGTAGATTTTGTGAGCTTACACCGAGGCCGCAATGGTGTGGTAAACTCGCCGTTTGGCAGATGTTGGTTAACGTCATGTAGCAGCCCTTAACCAAATTCGAGGTCAAGAAAATCGACAAAATTCAAGGTGACGATTTTCTACATTTACTGTGATACATGCAAAACAAACAAAATTACAAATTTTATTACGACATTTTTCTAGTAGACAACAATTATTTCATTAATATATACTTGCATTTTTTATGTCGAAATAAATAGTAGAAAAATATAGAAGAGTGTGTATTTTTCGAGATTTTATATAATATTTGATATAACGAGGAAGAAAACGAAGATAGACGCGATGAAATACCTTCGTTTTTATTATGCGATCCATCGAGCAACCTCCAACGATATCATCAGAATTTATTTATCGAGAGTTTTCCCTCTCTCCCTCTCTCTCTCTCTCTCTCTCTCTCTCTCTCTTTCTACCTTTTAATCCCATCCGGCTTTATATCGCTCGTTATTATACGCACGAAATTCAAACGATGGCGGACGCGTCGCTGATAATGGAATAAACTCTGTGAGCGCGAAAGAATTCGCGCTGAATTCAATCCAATCATTTCGTCGAAGCGAAAACAGAAATCTAGTTATCGTTACGTAACCAGCCGTCTCCACGTGCCGATTATTTTCACAGTCATTCGCGCGAACAACGAATTGCTGCTGCCAACTATACGCAGTCCGTCAATGCTGATAATTAATTATTCAAAAATATACCTAAACAAATCTCTCACAGTAGCATCAGCAGTAACAGCAACAACATTGAATATGCCTACAATTGTTTGACACAGTTTAGTGTTTTTCTTTTGATTGTGTAAAAATCGAATAATTGCGTTTACTTTAGTAAACAAAAAAATGGAAAGATAGAAGAAGATAGCTATAATAACAACGTCTCAATTTCTGTACGAAATTTCAACGGGTTGATAGAAATGTGACGCAACTAATCGAGAACGGGATAACGTTGGTAGCACATGTCATTCTGTCCCATCGTCTGAGCGAAGGGTTCGCACTGCTGGTTACAGGAGACGAAACCAGAGAATAGCTATTGTTTCGATTCGACAATGTCCCGTTACTCGAGTTCCAGTTCCCTTACACGTTGCGGTCCATAATAATATGATTATAGACCAATGTACCCCTGACGACCCTCCCACTAAAGCATCAAAGAGATAGAGAGAGAGAGAGAGAGAGAGAGGGAGAGGGAGAGAAAGGAAACTTCTATTTTCAAGCATCGAACAATTTGCGGAGCTACGAAGGAAATTTTAGAGGAACGTTTCCTGGATTTCACGGATACCGGAACGACGTTAACGTTCGCAAAATTACAAACGTGAAATGACGCGTTTCGTGAACTATAAGCTAGGAAAAGGAAAGAGAAAGATAGAGAGCTAGTTTCTCGGATAATTTTTGTTCGCTGAGCTCTCGTGAAATATTTAACATCCTATATGCATGGAAATGAATGTTTGCTTAAAAGATACGAAGGAAAAGAGGTGCGAGAGCGTAGGATTTTTTTTGTCTTTTTCTTTTTTTTTTATTACTCTACCGAATCGTAATTCTTCTCGTTGGTCGTAGCAAAACTTTCGCACGGACAGCGTAACCAACAACAACAACAACAAAAAATCCTCCAAATGGACTTTGTTGTCATCCGTATCTATTTTTGTTGTTTTCTCTTATAAAGAAAATGACGAATTAAAGTATAGGAAAGAAAAAAAATCTATCCTTTAATCCTAAATCCACGGGATATGTAAAAATGATGAAAATGTAAATAAATCGTTTGTATAACGTTACGAAAGTTGTTTTAATTATACTAATATTTCTGTTTACTCAGGACAACGCATCAACGGTTAGACCTGATTAAATTACGGTCACGTTACCGTAACACGTGCCTACGTCTCTCGGCATCCCTTGCAGTGTTGAGAGGTGGAGAGTGAAAGAGGGTGCGTGCGTGGAAACGTGGTGTTGTACGAAATAATGCACGTGCTCGAGCGAGTGAATCAAGTCCTTCCTTCTCTGTTGACGAAGAACGTATGTCGAGGTTTGTCGAGGCCTGAGTTTACCTCAAATACATCTAGATTTACCTAGATTCATTTAGATTTACCTGCATTCTCTGTCGACGAGTTAGAAATCGTAGTATACGCTTTGCACGTTCATTATTAGTAATTTCTCAACTAATTATAAATCTGCCAAAAGTTATTAAAACGTTGTTCAATTTTTTTTCCTATGATATATACATATATATATATATTATTAAAAAATAAAAAAAAATATGTATATAACATGATGTTTTTTTTGGTTTTTAAAAAAGCCTTTTTTCAACGCCTGTAACCTTTGAGAGAGAAAAGTTATAAATTATTTAATATATAAACACGAGCCAACGCCGCTGGCCAACAAACTAATATGAATTTCAATTTATGGAAACAAACTTTCGAAATATCGGAAGAGAGAGAAAGAGAGAGAGAGAGAGAGAGAGAGAGAGAGAGAGAAAGAGGGATTATTTGTTCGTCATTAAACTTATAATGCGTTTACATAAATGAAAGTTGGATAGAAATTGCTTGCTCTCTCTCTCTCTGTTGCTCTCTCTTGCTCTCTCTCTTTCTCTCTATTTCTCTCTTTAGCGATATTTTAAATACGAGAAACGGTACTAGCGTTTATTCCAAGAATCCTCCGAATAAACGTTCGAGAGTCTCAACATTCCGAATAACCGAATGTCTCGTTACGATTGGTTTCAATGGCGTACAGTAGACCCGAGAGAATAGTTCCAATGTGTTTGCTGTTACAGCTAGGTATAAAAATAATCTTGATAGGTTTTCGAATCGGGCTGGACGTCGATATTGGACGCTAGTCGTTGGAGTAGCTTATCATATAAATAAAAGAAAAATCTTAACGTCCTGCAACGACAAAAGTATATATATATGTGTAATACAAAAGGGAAAAAAAATCGTATAACGAATTTACGATAGGATATAAAAAGGAAACATTTTTATCGTACAATGATTGTTTCGCAATCGATAAAGAATTTAATCTTATTTTCCATGAATTTTCCACCAAAATATATATAACACTAGGAGTGCCCCGCCGATACACAAGTCTTTAAGTCAACGAATTACCTAATATTGCGATTATAAATTGAGATATAAACTACCCTATGTGTTTCAAGTTGGATGAAATTGCACACAGTGTGGAAAATTTGATTAAAATCGGTTCAGTAGTTTAAGAGTCCATTGTGGACAAATAACGTGACACGTAATTTATATATATTAAAGATGGATCAAAAAGCAGATCTTGATAATTTCATTCACGATAGCATGCAAAGATTGCAACTAATTGGCATACTCTTCCATTGTTTCGATTCTTTGCTTGTGTTTATGTTATAAATTGATTGTAATCGTATCAACAAGAATATTTGTTACGTAAGATTCGTTAATTATCCAATAACTTCTTGGAAATGGAATTACGTTCGATGTCGTAGGCTTAGACACGATCACGTAACGTCTAATTAAAGAAATTAATGTTTGCGTTAATTCGCGAAGGTAGGACGGACACTTCTTCGGAAAGGTTTCAATTGAAAATGGAATATCCCGTTAGACGGAGTAATTAATTAGGATTGCAATCCGTTTGTAAATCTGAATCGTCTGTTTTAGTTCGAGCTGTCCGACTTGTCTGTTATTCAGAACTACTGTCTAAGCTGTCCGTTAGTCTCTCCTATCTGTTAATTGTAAACCTTCATCATAAATAAACTTTATTCGTTATTGTTAATTGTGTTCCTTTTTGTTTTATCACTTAGCTTTTGTGTAATAAATGAGACGATTTCATTTGAACGAGATTGCAATATCAATTCGTAGACTACGCGATATCGTTTTAACGAACGTTGCAACTTGTTTGTTCGTGTTTGTATGTAGAAAGAGGTGAAATTAAAATATTCTCTTTTAAACGCGTTGCCAGGATTCCTGCCTGTATCGACAAAAATTCGTCGGATAGAACTTTGTCGCTGATCTTTTTCAAACGAATAATATCCAAAGCTTCAATGAACTAATCCAATGCAACGAAAGCCGTTAACATTTTGATCTATCCCACCGGAAACCATTTTTCGTTTTTCTAATATTTAACGAAGACGAGAGAGAGAGAGAGAGAGAGAGAGAGAGAGAGACGTGTAACGTTTCGATAGATTCAGGATAAAAATCGAATTTTTGTTCGTTTTACGTCACTTACCTCGCTGCCATATCGGGGTGCTCACAGGATTGCTGTCCACCTCGCATTTTAGGCTGACAGACATTCCCTCGACGATGGGAATTCCAAATCCAGGTAAACGCGTTATCGCGAACGATGGAGTATCTGAAACAGGTATTAAGCAATTAGTGTCAGTGCCAAGCGTTCGATGTACGCTAGTGTATCGATCCTATTGGATCGCCGAAAAGAGACAGAAGCAGCGTTATTTGAATAGTGCGACGACCGGCCTTCGGCGTATAACGGGACGCAATACTCTTCAGGACTTGATTGACGGTAGAGGACCGAGATTGAACTGACACGTTATTACGTTCCGCCGGCGCTACAAAATTCTCCGATTCTACGAAATTGCGTTGCTTTCCTGCTAATCCCTACGAACTTTGATATCAAACAAACATTTCCAACCTGTTAACGATCATTTTAATGATTAATCTGCAACCCTGACGCATATTCATTTCTTCGATTAAACACGTGACAGTTTTGATTGCTTTCTCAAATAAAACAATCAGATTCCTGCATTGTAAATAATTCTATCATATCTATCTGCAAGTATCACTCGATACAAACAGCTACTTACTATCTGATCGTAAAAACCAAACTATCATAAAGTTTCATGCCAAAGTTTCGCTAAGGGAAGCACATAATCTCTTATTTTTATCACACGCTATTTCATTCGTCGCCAATTTATTTGGCGACGTGCAACGATGACGAGGAGAAAGATCGGTATCTCTTTTTTTTTTCTAAAGCAAAAGAAAAAAATGAAAAGGAGAAAATAAGAGAACAGGATCAGAGAATATTAACTAAGCGAGAAGTATAGCATAACGCGTCGAGAAACGTTTTGAACGGCGCCAGCCAGTGACGTGTCGGACTCGTTGCTCACCCTTCGACGACGCCATTCGTGCGATGGGCAGGCAGGCAGGCAGGCAGTAGCCTCGTGATATAACGCAAATGTGTTCGTATATATTCGTGTGAAAAAGAGAGAAAGAGAGAGAGAGAGAGAGAGAGATCCCTTTTGCCAAGCTCAACCGTAAAAATCTTCGCTGTCCTGCTCGTTAATTACTCGACCTCGGATCGGGTCGCTTTCTGCTGGCTCGTTTGTTCGCCAACGATTTTAATTCTCCCACCTCCACCTCCACCTTCTCTTTCTATTCCCTTCTTTTTCATCACCAATCCCTATCATCTTCGTGGTGGTACGCGAAAAGCTTCTCTACTATTCGCTTGGCTCGCGATATGCATGAATTCTTTCACACAGGTCGACGATGCTCGTTAATGGCGCGGAAGGAAAACCCTGCTGCTGCTGCTGCTGCTGCTGCTGCTGCTATTCGTGAGTACGTCTTTGTCTATGTGTGTCAACGTTTGTGTATGTATGAGTGCGATCCGCAGGATTAAATCCATTGCTGCAAGTGGATCGATATAAAACGTGAACTTGTGTGGACTATACGAGTGACCGGAAAATATATGGAAAATAAAAACCCTAACAATTTTTGAAAGAGAAAGAGAGAGAGAGAGAGAGAAAGACAGATCCACAAAAACGTTCTTATTGACGTGTTATCTTTGCTAACGCGACAAGCGAACTTTCTTTCGATACGAGTAACAGGAGTGTGACAAATATTTGGATAAAAAAGGGTTAGCAAGAAAAACAGAGTCCAAATAAAAAATACTGAACGAATGAAACACGTGTTCCGTATACTGAAATAGGAAATAAGATAGAATACATAGAAAAGTATAACTTCAATAAAGAAAAAAAAAAGATCTACTAACTTTATTCTATAAAGTTGTTCATGTTGTGTTGTGCACACGCATCGTAAAAATTCAATCTCATCATTTTTTTCCCAAACGCGCCAAAATAAGTATAACTTGAAAAATGAAAATGTTTTATTCCTCTCTCTCTCTCTCTCTCTCTTTCTCTTCCTGTCTATCTGTCTGTCTGTTTGTCTATCTCTCTCTTTCTCATTTGCTTTACTAGAGAGGATAGCTCGGAGTTATTCACTCGGCCATAATAGTGCGGTGCCGAGACAATGCAAGCTTAATGAAAGCTATCCCCGGCAGTTGGGGTACCTCTCGAGGGCCGACGCCGACGCCGACGCCGACGCCGACGCCAACGCCGACGCCACCCGATGCCACCCAACGCAACGGCGTAAACACTGAACAAAGCGAACAATGCGACACAGAAGTGTCCCACAGACCTCGATCGTTTAATAAGAACTTTAAAACGTTGCATTCTATATATATATATTTCTCCAATAGAAATTTTAATTGTATTGTACGTATACGTACGTATACGTGTACCTGCAACTACCATCATTTTGTTAAAAAATACTCGAACCCGCATATCTTTTAATGTTTCTTCTTTTTTTTTTCTTTCTTTTACAAGCTCGATCTCTAATTTGGATATATTCGTTAATTCCTGTACTGGATAGTTAAATACCACCAATACGCAAATCTTGGAACAAATTTGAAATAGAATCGTCGGAATATATTGGAAAATAAAGAAAGAAATAGAGAATTGCGAACGTATTGCACTTTTCTCAGGTAGACGAAAAAAAATATCCGAATTTCACAGTCGACGAGCGTTGAAAGTTCGTAGCAGCGATCGTTTAAAAACGTAGTTTTTTCGTCGGTCTGATTTAATTAAGCTACGCTCGATCGAGTCGAACCTTTAAACGAGAATACCTAGGAAAATGCTGGTATGGCTGCATTAGAAGCGATTGAAAATGCGTTAAAAAAAAAAAAAAAAAAAAAAAAAAATTTTCTACACGATAGCGCATCGAATGTTCCAATTTTTCGTATCAAACTTTCGTATATCGACGAGAGATAAACGAATATCTAAATCGAGTAGGTAGGTAACCTTATTGAGGTCGATTCTCGTATATCTAACGATATCTCATTTTCAAATTTGTTACAATTTTCATCGATGAATTATGAGTCTTGTAACAGGGCGCATGTGTCTGATAAATGTTCAACATTTGAATAATCCTCTAACGTCGTATTATTTTAAAACTCGAGTAGTAAGCCTCTTTCACCGTCGAAAGTAAATGATGCGTACGAGATAAGAGAACGCATAAACGAAGGGATAAATTTAGAATTTTGTATGTGGTATTACATACCTACTTGCTATGGGGAAAGAGATATACGACTATATACGCATTCGATTCTCATTTGGTGGTACGACAATGAATCATGTTGGTGGTACGTGTACCACTTTAGAAAGAATCAACGACTTCAAACAACATTTTCCGTGCGAACTTAGGCGGCACTCATTCCTAAAATGTAAGGCGAAACGACATAAACTTCCCTAGGCTATGAAGAAGACGAAGACGAAGAAGAAGAAGAAGAAGAAGAAAAAAAAAGTCTCTTCAAAGAAATTTCTACCGACGTTTGTTATAAAACACGCTCGTAAACTTTACACGAATCGTTAGGCACAAACTTAGATATATATATATATAAACGTATATGTATTATATATAGTAGAAAAGAGAATTTCGTAGTAAACCATAGGAACGAGTATGCATTTACGTGCACTTTACCTAAAACAAATATGCCATTAACAAAAATGATTAGAATCACCCTTTTGAGCACCCTTCACTATCTTTCCTAATCCTTGCCATCATCTAGGGTTTAGATTTGTCTCTTATCGAACTCTTATCAAATTGCTATAGTATTCCCTTTTAGTCCCCCTTATTTCTTTCTTTCCAATAAATTTTCTAAAACCCATAGATCGTATCTATTATATCGGTAAAACTATGTATCATCGATGGTGTATCTCACCATTATTTGAACGATATTGATTTTCCAAATTTTCAATTTGAAACGTATCGCTATGCAATTGTGAATTCGAGAACAGTGAACGTAGAATAAGTTTACCTATTATTTATTCGAGAAACAAATGGAAAATCATTGAACTTTGAACAATAGAAATCAAAACGATTATTCTATCTAAAAGTTCTATTATAAATTCAAATTAAAAGCGTGATAGTAGTAAATCAATTGTATTATCTTTTAAATGTATAGATATAGATTTATATATGTACATGTATCTAGATAGGATCAATAGTGTATCGCTCGTTAGATCACTTGTAAAACAATAACGTTTCATCAATATTCGATTACGCCATTTCGTGAACGCGTCATTAACAAAAGGACAGACAGGCCACCGTTTTTGGCCACAACGTATCCGTTAGGTAAACATTTGTCGTCTGTGCGTATTTACAAAAAGAAATAGAAAACGAAACAGTGAGAGATATATAAAAAAAAAAAAAACAACAAAAAAAAATAGTCAGGGATGAGAATATGCAGGACATACATGTAGTAGATAAACGTTCGATGAAAGAGTGGAAAAGAGAGAGAGAGAGAGAGAAAAAAAGAAGCAAAATAGAAAGAGAGAGGAGAGTGAAAGTGATAGAGACGAAAAACGTTGAAAATTTAGTTGGTCAATCGGTTATTCCAAAAATTCGTTCCCTCAATGGGGATTGTGAGATGTACTAACGCTGCTTCTATTAAACGGTTTTTCGATAATAGAAGAGCAAGAGCTTCTAGCTGTCCAGTGTACACCAATATAATGTAATGTTTACTCCCGACAAAATGGACGTCCATCTAACTTCTATTCTATCCTAAATACATAATATTATTATAATTAAAATATAATAATAAATGTATATTTAAATAATAAAATATAATTATTAATATATAAATTAATTAAATAGTAATATGAACACATCATTTAGTACGAATCTATATATATCCACTAGATAAAGGAATTCTTAATATTTTTTAATATGTTTGTTTGAAAAATATTTGAATCTACAAATTGTACGTTTTCAATGATAAATTTATTATATATCAGTTAACAGTTATGATTTAACAGACAACTGACAAATTCTGAACGTGATCGCGGTTTAACCGCATTATGGACAACGTTTCGCGTCAAACCTATTTACGAGAAATTTGTTATAAAATAAGAATAAATAAAAATACGCTTTGATACTTTACCGATACGAATCACATATCGTTAATTTTCAATTGTGTTGCATTTATTTGGGATTTATCGATGCTCTATGCTTTTTGCTTTTTGTTGAAAATAGGTCATAATCAAGTTCATGATGACACTT